ACATCATTAAGAAAAAGAAGTACATGTCCAAGAAAATAGAAGACGACGACAATGACAACAATGATGAAGCTGATGATGATGACAATGAAGAAGATGAAGTCAACAATGATGATGATGATAAAAAATAACATGAAGAAAAAGAAGTACAAGACCAAGAAAAAGAAGAAAAGAAGACGATGAAGACGACAATGATGAAGAAGCTGATGAAGATAATGAAAAAGATGAAAATGACAACGATGATGATGACGATGATGAAGATTAAGTCGACAGTGATGATGATAATGATGATGACAAATAAAAAGAAAAACATCATTAAGAAAAAGAAGTACGTGACAATGACAACAATGATGAAGCTGATGATGATGACGATGAAGAAGATGAAGTCAACGATGATGATGATGATGAAAAAGAAGAACATGAATAAAAAGAAGTAAAAGAGAAGACGACAATGATGACGATGATGAAAAAGAAGAAGCTGATGAAGATGAAGTCAACAATGACGACGATGGTGAAAAAGAAGAAGCTGATGAAGATGAAGTCAACAATGACGACGATGGTGAAAAAGAAGAAGCTGATGAAGATGAAGTCAACAATGACGACGATGATGAAAAAGAAGAAGCTGATGAAGATGAAGAAGAAGCAGTCACCTTGCATGGATGTGTGTGGTTGGTGGGTTCCAGAGGTGGACTCTGGAAAGCAGCCCAGTCCATGGAGAGCCCAGCGTCAGGGACAGTGACGTACAGGAAGTGACCTGTCATAATGAGAGTTACACACGTTCTTTACTCTTACTGTGGATTTGTGCAGTTTTGTTTTAAGTTTCAGGAAGCAGCTTGATTCTGGACCCGTCAGAGCTTCAGCAACAACTAAACTAAAGATCTAAAAGGTCTTCTTTTGGTCTCGTATTGAAGAATTGACCAACTCAACCAATCGGTACCTGACGCCGTGTTGTTGGAGTGATCTCTGCCCGGACCTTTCAAAGGATCAGATCTGGAGATGTTCTCCTGATTCGTTCTTCTCCACTTGAGTTTTGAAATGGACCTCAGGTCCCAGTCGCACTGGTCCTCCTCAAAGTCACAAAAACGGTACCCATCTGGAGAAACACAGCAACAGAAAATAAAGACGGTAAAATCCTAAAACTTGAAACACCAAAGTGTTTAAAAGAGCGTCTGAAGGAACTGGGAAATTTGTGACGGGATGACTGTGTGTGTGATGCGTGTTTATGAGATCATGTAACCGCATCTGTGTGTGTTTGCTCGTCTGTTAGCAAAATATCAACACAATTCAAGATGGCTGCCACAGTTACTCAGCCTTAGCGACGCAAAAATGGCTAAAACGCGGTCATTTTTACAGAAATTAAGTTCAAATTTGGTGTGGTAGTAGCTGAGACCCATCCCAAACATTTCGTCTGAGGGCTGACTGCCTGAGCAACATTGTTTATGAAAGGAAGGCCACTTGCATGAATCATTTTATTTATTTTGTTCTTTGTGTTTTACTTGAGACACAGACACATTTTAAAAGTAAAAATTACAGATGCGGTGAATCGTTACCAAAACATTCCATAATTTCCACACATGTCCACGTCGCTGAAGGATTTCAAGAGTGAATCTAAGTACACCTAAATGTTTTTTTTTTGTTTTTTTTCATTTAGCCTTTATTTATCCAGGTTAGTCTCATTGAGCCACGAGAACTCATTTTCAAGAGAGACCTGTTTTAGGGAGCACATGGTGGGGGTTAAGGGCCTTGCTCATGGGCCCAGAGTGGGGTGAATGAGGGTGGGGGCAAGTGTGGGTGTTTCACCTACCCCACCCACAATTTTGATGTTGTCGGGGCCGGGGCGTGAACCGGCGATCTTCGGATCACAGGCCCACCTCTCTAACCTCTGCGCCACCACTCCCCCAACCTAAATGTTTTTACTTAAAGATATCCAAATGGGACTTACACTGTGGAGAAGACAGGAGGCAGTTTTAATTTTTTGCATGTTCAAGGCGGCGCAGAGCGACGGAGCCTGGCGAGTGGAGGAAGAAGTTTTATTCACCAGAAGGTGCAATGGGCAGAGCCAAGGGGTGGCCAATGGTGGCCCTGTTTACCATAAATTAATCATCAGCCACCCCAATCACTTGAAGAAAATATACTTTGAAGCAATTTAAAATCTAGAACGCACGGTTTCCTCAAATGATCAAGGTGGCCGTTTATATATATATATGTATTTGTATATATATATATATATATTTATATGTATTTGTGTGTATATATATATATATATACACACACACATATAAACATATATGTACATATATATGTATATATGTACATATATATGTATTTGTGTATATATATATATATATATACACACACACACATGTATTTGTGTATATATATATACACACACACATATATATATATATATATACATATATATTTACATATATATATATATATATACATATATATATATATACACACACATGTATTTGTGTATATAATACACACACATATATATATATATATATATATATATACATATATATATATATACATACACATATATATATACATATATATATATATACACACATGTATTTGTGTATATACATACACATATATATATACATACACATATATATATATACATACACATATACATATATATATACATATACATATATATATACATATACATATATATACATATACATATATATACATATACATATATATATACATATACATATATATACATATACATATATATATACATATACATATATATATACATATACATA